TGCAAGTGCCTTGAGACTTTGCAGAGGTCACTTCAACAGTAGACAGCTTATAACAAAACCATTAGCGGTTTGGCTAGCTTAAGGAAACCTCTTACTTTTCTTTTTTTGTTTATTATCACTGCATGAATCTGCAGCATATGATAGTTTATAATTTCTCAGGCTTGTTAAATTCATGTTAAAGGTCTGTTTTCTTGTTGAATAAATTTTGTTCATATAATGCTGCCTATTTCATACAGTGAGTCTTTAATAGCACCTTTGGTCTATGCGCAACTCACAGATCAAAACAGAGGACTAAAATAGGGGTTGATGATGCTATTTACATGTGTGATTCCTGCTGTCTTCTTGTTAGTAGCTTTAATATAATAGAAGACCTTGTCTGTTTTGTAATTAACACATCTTTACTGGAGAGATATTTGGAAGTGATTGCTGTGAATATACTGGTTAGTAAAATAAACACAATCACACACCACTTTCTGTTATCAGACAAATTTGTGAATTGTACACATTATACTCCAGATCAACAAACTGTGATATAACAGCCAAAGAGAAGACACATTTATATAACCCTATATTTTTTCTGAAAACATGCATTCATTCTGACCTTGTAAATATAATTAGTTTGTAGGATGCATGGAATTAAATAACATAGATTCTTTAGTAATTGCAATGGTTGCAAATAGGATACCAAATATTTGGAAACTACATAAAAAAATCAAAATGACATTTTTATTGACATCTATTTCTTACAAATCATTACTATCTGGAAAATACTTCCCTTCTTACTTTCAGTTGTTGTTCAAATCAATAATCTACACCATCACTTGCCTTTGTCAAAAGATGGCTTTCAAACAGCTCTTCTAGTAGCTTTTTCACCAAATCATCCTACCACTATATACAAGTTAATATATAAATCCTTTTCTCCACACTGTTTCTAGAATAATATGCTGAATATTTTTATTACTTAAAAATCTTTCAGCAATGCATGTGTTATAATTAAGCTTTTTCCAGAGGTATTATAATTGACAAGTGGCCATATACCTCCAGATATCTACTTCTTAAATATCTCAACATATCACTACAGTACTTTGGGGGAGGGGAAAGGGAGGGAGAACACACTCCTAATATGGGTGTAATATCTTAAGTGATGAACTGCAATCAGTTAACTTAGCACTGTTAGTTAGAGCTGAGGTCTTTTCTGACATTGCTGTATTTGCAGAAAAATGTCCCTGAAGCCCCATGGCAAATAGAAGCTGTCTTTAAAAAATGCATTAAGGCGCTTTGCAATTCAAGCATTCAGCCATTGTTCAGGCACATTTATAAGAAAACGGCATTGTATAAGAGGTCCTGTGTAAAGGCTATAATGTAACTATTGCCAGGTGTGGAAGGAGAAGTAATGTCCCATCTAAAATCTCCTTTATCACCTGCAGCTGAACAGTTATCAACTGCTTAGTTGGTTTCTAGATTCTTTGAAAATTTAAATGGAACTATGACCCTTGAAGTGCAGCTGAAGTTTATGACCACTTTGATATTTATGCTGGTGTGCACACTTAAACAACCGTGACCAAAGAACATCTTTGGTCCCCTGTAAGCCCATGGCATAAAAAATTCAGAGAAGTCTTACTTTTATGCCATTTCCAATGAAAAGCACTAAGAACAGAAATTGACTCATGCCAAATGCATACCACTGAATTGCTGTGATTGTGAGTTTTGAGGTCTTACACATGGTAATTATTTATAAAAATGTCAATTTTAGTTCTGAAAAAAAGATTCCTAGGAGTGCATACATTTTCCTTCTTTATCCTTGGAGAATTTGCTTGCTTTGGTCAGGTTTACTGTGCAACCTGAATATCTAGAACGGAGAGACAGCTACAGAATAATACATTTAGTCTGACAAGCAAAGGCATGCATTTGTAACCCCAAAAGCAGAAAAAAACACAAGTTTCCAAGCTTTATGTCTTACCGAAGAGAGATGGATTATTCTACATGGTAAAAGGCATTTAAAAATTAATACTATTAAATGAAAAGTGTACTCAAAACTTTTTCATTTAGAAAAGGGAAATAAACTAAAATAACTCTTGCAGTTTAACAAGCAAAAATAACTGCCTGCTCTGAAGAATACCAAATTGAGTGTTATTGCATTAAAAAAAACCCTTCAGCAGAAAGTTTCTCTATCTTTAATGAAGCGTTCTCTTTGGAGCTTTCATTCAACTATCTAATATAACTGTATGCAGTTGAGAAGGCAATAAAAAAAACCAAGGATGCAATTATTATTTGTATGTCATATATACGTATATTTTATCTATGAAATAATTATTAGAGAGAAAGAAAACATGAGATAAAAATGGAAGAGGAATGAAGCTGGAAATACCCAAATGAACTTGCAACTGCAAATGAGCTGCAAACTCGTACATTTCTTTATCCTCCTTCCCCCTCCACATGCTAACACAGTACACATTTTCCTCTATTACTTGTTTAGTACTAACCAAAGTTCACCACAATGTCAGGCTTATTAGAGCCTACATTCCAGATGGAGAATGAGAAACCAGCCAAGTATAATTTCTGGGTATGTTTCAGAATATCCACTGATTCAGTCGAACATGGCAAACCACAGCTTAAGCTGAACATGTGAAGGTACGCAGAGAAGAAGATTCTATCTGTGTGGATCCATACCGTCTGGTTTTCTTCCAGTATGTGGACTAATCATGAGAGGTAAAATATGATTATATAGTTGTGCATAGTTACAAATGCTAGTTAGTACTTACTATCATTCAGCTGAAGTTCTTAGTGAACAGTATTTGTGAAATTGATACCTTCCAGTTAGATATCAATGAACAGATTCAATCTCCTAACTATTTATGAATCTCTCTTCTGCAAAGTGAGCTTTTCCCCCGCAGAAGTTAGCAAGTTAGCCATTGTTGAGAGTTAGCCAAGCAAGTTAGCCAATGTTGAGAGTTCTACAAATTGAATTACAGGTAGTCTTGACTTACAACAGTTTGCTTAGTGACTGTTCAAAGCTGCAATGGCACTGGAAAAAGTGAGTTATGACCATTTTTCACACTTATGACTGTAGCAGCGTCCCCATGGTCACGTGATTTGCATTCAGATGCTTGACAACTGACTCACTTTTATGGCGGCTGCAGTGTCCCGGGTCATGTGATCCCCTTTTGCGACAACTTTCTAACAAGCAAAGTCAATGGGAAAACCAGATTCTCTTAACAACCATGTTACTAATTTAACAACTGCAGTGATTCACTTAAGTGTGGCAAGAAAAGTCATAAAATGGGGCAAAACTCACTTAACAAATTTCTCATTTAGCAATATAAATGTTGGGCTCAATTGTGGTCGTAAATTGAGGACTACCTGTAACTTGGAAGCTATGTGAGCAGAATAGACTGCCTTATGCTAAATACGAGTAGTCTTTAATTTACAACAATTCATTTACTGATTGAAGTTATGACAGCACTGAAAAAAGTGACATGACCATTTTTCACGCTTATGACTATTACAGAAGCCCCATGGTCACGTGATCAAAATTCATATGCTTGGTAACCGACTCATATTTATGACAGTTGCCATGTCCTGAGTTTGTGTGATCACTTTTTGCAACCTCCTGTCAAGCAAAGTCAATGGGGAAGCCAGATTCACTTAACAACTGTTTTACTAGCTTAAAAACCGCAGTGATTCACTTAACAACTGTGGCAAGGAAGGCAAAATTCACTTAACTAATGTTTCACTTAGCAATGGAATTCTTGGGCTCAACTGTAATCGTTAAGTTGAGGACTACTTGTATAAGTTACCTGCACTCCTTGCTCAAAATTCTGAATTTGTCCAGTGTGTTAATATATAGGTAGTCCTCGACTTGCAACAGTTCTTTTGGTGACTGTTCAAAGTTACAACGGCACTGAAAATGGCTTGTGACTGTTTTTCACACTTATATTGTTGCAGCATCCCCATGA